TTATTGAGTTGGTTCTGTGCTCTTCTATAACTGTCTGGTTTGGGTCAGCCAGCAAATCAGATTTAAGAAGACTGCAACGGACTGTTAGGACAGCAGAAAGGATCATTGGTGTGCACCTGCCCAGTCTTCAGGACTTGTACAACTCCAGAGTGAAGAAACGGGCAGGAAACATCATGAAAGACCCCTCTCACCCCGGACGCAACCTGTTTGCACTTCTCCCCTCAGGCAGACGCTACAGATCTCTGTGCACTAGAACATCTAGGCATAAAAACAGTTTTTTCCCCCATGCCATCTCCAGCTTAAACAGCTAACATATGAATCATTACCTGCGTTCTGTAATTCATTTCCGTAATTCATTCTATATCCTTAATTATTGCCTCTTTCTCAAGTATTATGTAAATACATATGCATATCTCTTTATTTATACAGTTCTATATAGAGTAAATGATGCACAAATCTGTACATAAATCTACTGTTCCAGATTCATACACATTATTTATTGTTAAGTTTTTACTATTTAAATGTTTTTTTTGTTTTTTTTTTCTGTTCTCATGTCAGATGTGTATGTATGCATGTATGTATGCATGTATGTATGTACCAGGAGCACCTTAAAAAACCACAACAAATTCCTCGTGTGTTTGCACACCCGGCGAATAAAGCTAATTCTGATTCTGATTCTGATTCTGATTCTGATTTATCACCTCAAAGTTGGATTATTGTAACTCTTTATAACTGGGTTTGCCTAATTCACCTGTAAATCGCTTGCAGATGGTTCAAAACGCAGCAGCCAGGCACTAAAAAGTGTCAGCACATTACTCCTGTGATTGCCTCTCTCCACTGGTTACCGGTTAAGTCCCGGATTGATTTTAAAATTGTGCTTTTTATTTATAAAGCTTTACATGCACTTGCCCCTCAGTATATCAGTGATCTTATTTCTTATCTTGTCCTGTACAATGCCTCAAGATCCTTATGTTCTTCCAATCATCTTCTTTCTGTTCCTCGCTCACGTTACAAAACTCAAGGTGACCGGGCTTTCTCTGTGGCTGCTCCCAGACTTTGGAACAGTCTCCCTCTCAATATTTGATCTTCCTCTTCTGTTTCTTTTTTTTAAATCTTCCCCAAAAACGTATCTGTATTCTTTATGTTTTAATTAAGGGTTATATTTTTGCATTTGTCTCCAAGGTTTTGATCCAGTGTGTTAATTCTGTTTTAATTTTGTTCACATTTTGTTTTAATAGCTCTGTACAGCACTTTGATTGCAACTTCTGTTGTTTTTAAATGTGCTTTATAAATTAATAAACTAAACTAAACTAAACTGATGGCTGACCCTAGACAGTAGAACACATTTTATTTTTAGAAGTAGGCCTAATTTTCTTCAAACACATGAAATATTGCTTGCTTTTTAGTTAGGTAATTTCATCTGCATTTTTTATTTTTTTTTACTTAGAGATAATTAATGGAAAATGTGCGATGGAAGATTTGGAAGATTTCTACCACCTGGTAGAAATACAAATAATATTGAAATGAATGTCATGATATTAACACTATAACCACTAGATAGCAGCAGAGGATCATTCATTGTCTCATTTACCATACCCACTCTGTAATATAGCTCTTTTCACATGCTTTGATTTTGGATTTATATTTAGATATTATAAAATCACTATTATAACATTTAAAAATCACCTCTTTGTCAAAGTTCAGCATTGTTTTATACGAAGTGTTAAGTAGCAAGAGTTAAAAAAAAAAAACTCTACTTGATCTACTTGAATCACACAAATGGCCTATTTTGAATTCAAAATGGCAATTTTCGGCAAAAGGTGGCTTGTTTGTATCCTTGTTAACAATCTCAGTTCCTCTCAAATGTAAATCAAACGCCCATTCACAAACATAGCGTGACTTTTTTTTTTTTTTTTGAGTGACAAAGATACTCAGAAATGAATTGCTATTAACATTAATCACTTTGCCATCTTAAGCAACAACGTTAAATGTTGAATTAATTTATTGAGTTTTTATAGAGCTTACCAATTTCTGTTAGTTCACTTGGATATTGCTGTCCTTATTTTAATGCATTGTTCTTTTTCCCTTTTGTCTTTTCTGTTCTGCGCCCCAGAGTGTTTCCCTCCTTTATTAATTTTGGTCATGTGATGATTTTCACAGAATGATTTTGGCAAAATGGCGCCCCCTCCGTGCGCTGCAAATGCACTGCATATGCTGCATACCCCGTCTTTGTGCCACTGGCGACAGCACACCGCTTTAAAAGAAAAGAACGGAATGCCGCATCATGTTTTCATAATCGTTGGAAGCCAAAAACAAAACTAAAATTCTATTAATCGCACTGCCCTAGTCATTTAAATAATATTTTTTAGGGCAAGGAAAGATGGTGCATCTGCTGTGTAAAGGTGCTCTGTAAAGTAAATGTGGTGTAGAGCTGCTCTGTTGTGTAAACCTACTCTATTACGTAAAGGTGGTGTAAAGTTGTTCTGTTGTTTAAAGGTGTTGTAAATCTGCTGTGTTTTGTAAAACTGATCTGTTGTGTAAAGGTGGTGCAACTGTTGTGTAAAGGTGCTCTGTAAAGTAAATGTGGTGTAGAGCTGCTCTGTTGTGTAAACCTGCTCTGTTACATAAAGGTGGTGTAAAGTTGTTCTGTTTTGTAAAGGTGTTGTAAATCTGCTGTTTTGGAAAACTGATCTGTTGTGTAAAGGCGGTGTAACTGTTGTGTAAAGGTGCTCTGTAAAGTAAATGCGGTGTAGAGCTGCTCTGTTACATAAAGGTGGTGTAAAGTTGTTCTGTTTTGTAAAGGTGTTGTAAATCTGCTGTTTTGGAAAACTGATCTGTTGCGTAAAAGTGGTGTAACTGTTGTGTAAAGGTGCTCTGTAAAGTAAATGTGGTGTAGAGCTGCTCTGTTGTGTAAGCCTGCTCTGTTCCGTAAAGGTGGTGTAAAATTGTTCAGATGTGTACATATTAAGCTGTTCTGTTGTGTAAATGTGTTGTAAACCTGCTGTTTTGTAAAAGTGATCTGTTGTGTAAAGAATCTGTTTTCATCTCCTTAAAGTCTTTAGATTATCAGCCTTCAACCTCTGTGAGTGTAAACATTTTTGAAAAAGCGCATTAATTTGTCATGCTATTTGTTCAACACCTCTGTTTCCTCGTTTGTTAAAGACAGACAAAATCGGGATTGGGATTTGCGATGAAAAGAGGAGTTTGGTTGGATGTGTGGTGTTTGGATGAGAGGATGAGAGGAGGGGTAGCATGATGATTGCTTGCACTAATTCTCTGGACACACGCACAAGCCAGGTGTCCACGAGAGACAGAAAAAGAGGCTTGTAGAGGGAAAGGTGAATGAACACGGTTAATTCAGAGAAGAACTGGTTAAATAAAAAGTGCCATCAGTTGGCGACACTGCTTGAAGGAGCGACTCGTGCCAAAACAATGACTTGTGCGCGCGTGTGTGTGAGAGAGAGAGAGAGAGAGAAAGAGAGGTGGGGGAGGCGGCACACTTATCAGGAGTGACAGAGAGAACGTCAGGCGAAGAGAGTGGAGGGAGGGAGAGGAAAGCAGAAAATGAGAGTGTGGCAAGACAGCGGCTCATAGTGACAGCAGGGGCAGAGGGAGGCAGAGGGAGCAAGTGAGCTGGGGAATAGAAAACTGACAGTGGGGGGAAAATGCAGGAAAGACACTGAAGCTGAACTGGTGGAGGAGAAAAAGGAAAATACAAACAAGGCTAGATAGAATCATTAGGAAGGAACAGTAAGGAAGCAGAGAGAAAGTGTGGAAATTGAGTGATTTGTCTAAATGTGCTTGTAATGTGTGACTGGCAGTGCGTGGAGTGTGTTTACGTGCACGGGTCTAATTTTGCTACCAGTACTGCCTGGAAAACGTGCTTGGTGGATTATGCGAGATCAAGAAGAGGACGATTGTTTGTGTGTGTGTGTGTGTGTGTGTCAGAGAGTGTCTGTTTATTGGTGAAGAAAAGGGCTAGGTGCAGCTTGTTCGTGTGTGTGCATGTTTAGATATCGTGCAGCTCGAGAGTTGCTTGAGGAAAGGAAAAAGATAGTGCAGAGAGTTGAAGCACTTGAGGATGCCAGGGCATTCAGGGACAAGCACAGCTCCCAGATATTGCACTCTCAATGTAACTGCCGTCTGAGTACTTCAGACCCAACGAGGGAAGGCAAACCAATAAACAGAGTTTGTTGAAGGCAGACAAGGCGAAACCATGGGAGCACGTGTCTTCTTGAGCCATCAACTGAACTATTTGTAGAACCAAAGCATCTCTGTTGCTGCTGACTACCTCAAAGGGTAAAGCTACGAAAACTGTAGAGTTTCTTTGGAGGTCACGTGAAGGATTGGTGAGGGTCCATTGTAGTGTCCAGTGAAACCCTTGATGTCTTCAGAACCCAGCCATGGGAGAGTGGACCATTTTAGAGCGCCTCCTGGAGGCCGCTGTGCAGCAGCACTCTACAATGATTGGAAGGTAAGAAATGCTAAATCAATGCGATGATCTGGTTCAATTTTCTTAAAGAAATAATTAACTGCAACCTTTGATCAGGTTCTAATAATTGATTTTTAATGTTTAATGTTTTTATGTGCAGAGACAACTGGCAGTAAGAATTTCTGAAAAATGCAAACACTGTTACTCTGTTTGCGCAGCCCAACATGTCAATTTATGTGCCTGCCTTAGTTTGAGACAGAATGTTTAAACCCAAAACAATTTCCTGGCAATTTGTAATAAATTAAAATTTTAGTGAATTGGTGGCTAATTCATATGATTTTATCTCATTTATATGTACATTTATTTATTTAGTTATTTATTTTTACACTCTGTTCACACAGTGGTGGTTTCATTTAGGGGTGGATGTAAGGGTGGCCCATCATGCTTTTTTTCCCCCTAAAACTGTATTTTTTTTCCCGTATAATTCACATTGTACAAATTCATATGAAATCATCACTTTGTAAAATAGTTATGTTTTCCCATGAGATCAGGTTGTTGAAACCTGGACATGAATGACCATGAGGCTTATTACTACTTAATTAAGAAACGTGCTAAGTAATGTGAATTTCTAAATGATTTTCACCTGGCAAATAATAAAACTGGCATCACAGAGTTTAAATGAACTGCAAAACAAAAGCACAGATTGTTCCTAAGAAATAGATACATGATAATATCTACTACAGAGTTGAAAATAATCAAAACCAGGTAATGATTCAAATGCAAAAACTGAAAATACAAGAAATGTCATGTACAGGTGGATAAGAATTCCTGTGCAGTGGTTCTTAATCCTGTTCCTGGGGACCACAGCACTGCACATTTTGTCTTTCCTATCTGACACACTAAGCTTGGTTCATAAAGCTTTCTGCTAATGAGCTGATGGTTTCTTTCAGGTGCATTAGACATACAAAATGTGCAGTTCTGTGGGTCCCCATGACAAGGATTAAGAACCACTGCTGTATGGTGCTATCGGCCCATAATGGTGGCTTATGGTGAAGAGAGAATGACCTCGCGGTTGAGCTTTTAGTTAATCCTGCGGGCACCGTGAGCGCCTATTGGTCAATCTCAAGCTTCAGTAGATCCAATGCTTGAACCACTGAAGCTTGTGAGACCACAAGTGACATCGCCTGCTCGGGTGATGCTGTCTTCTCTTCCAGTTTAGCCCCTCACGTTCTCTTCATTTGTAATTTGGACAGAAATGTCCTACCAGATTTAGTTCAAAAAAGCATTGCATTTTTTTTTTTTTTATACATATTGTTTGATGCTTGGATAAGCTACATGTGGTTTTATCCGTATTGTTTGATGCTTGGATAAGTTACATGTGGTTTTATCTCTCTTTTTTTTCTGTATGCAGTGTTTTATCCACAGTGCCCTTAACTTAAAACTCTAATGCAGTTTTCTCAAAAACACACTAATTAGTTTCAGCCTGAATTTATCTTGAAGGCAAACACTGTCAAGCAGTGTACATTAAGGCAGTCAGCCAGGAGACATGGGGTGTGAAATGGTATTAGACATCCAAACAGCCATCCACTGATGCTTAGCATTCAGGTTTTTGGTGACTCACCTACTGACATTTATCATATGATCGTCATAGGTCACAACCATCCAGAACTATGATGTAATGGATGACTTACCTCATACAGTAGGGTCTGGTTCATTTCTACACTAGACCCCAGAATACACATTGATTCCATGGCAACAGATTCTTAAATTTCACTTTCTTCAATCCATTCACGAGACCAAAAATAGGAGGTTGGCGTTTGCCATGCATTTCTTATGCCATTGTCAGCTCTGGTATCGATTTGGCTGGCCAGACAATGAGCGACACTTTCATAGAGGTGCCGTTAGGGTGAATATGAATGATTACCCTGATCAGATCTCATTCACCAGTCAATGCTCCCACACTCCCACTTCAGTGAGCGCAGGCATCTTGGCAGCCAATGGTGAATTACGCTACGCCTGACAGGGTATGCCTAAGTCTCAACGGACTGTTTCATTCATTAGGTTTGGCATTACTGAGGTGATGTGGGTAGTTTTCTGTGTTTTTCTGATGTGAGCTGTTACAAGGAGGTTAATGAATTTGTGTAATTATGCAGGGCGGTTGCCACAAAAAGGTTATTGGTGTTTCAACACAAGTTTCGTTCTTTTGTACTACGAACATGATTGGTAACTGTACTTTTACTTTTTTTAAGCGTTCCAACTTCAGATTTACTTTACTTTTTAGCCATAGGATGAAAAAAGCTATTTGGCTCCCACTGAAGAGAAATCTGAGACATATTTAGAGACCAGAATACCATAGAGACCTGAAAGTGTGTTTTTTCCCTCACAGAACACCTAGCAACCACGTAGCAATGACACTGCAATTAAACATTGAATTTTGCATGGTTAAGCACTGCTCCAGATTTACTGTAAATATCTAATAGAAACATGAAGTCAATTAGAATCAAAACTATTCTTTTAATTGGTAATTCTACAAGGTTTTAGATTTATTTCATTTGAAGCTGATTTGGTTCATCTTGTAGAAGACAAAAGAGGACAGAATGTTTCATGCAACAAAAGTACTAAAAGTACATACCTCAGTACTGTAAATACTGTACATTTTCCGGATTTTTCTTTTCTGGTTGAGTGTGCACATTGTGCTTTAAACCTGTTTGGGGGGAAATTATGGTGCATATAAATGCCAGTTGGTAAGTTTTATGATAACTGCTTTCATACTGTTCTTTAGATTATGTAGTTATAATTGTTGCAATTTAATTTTAGACTGTGTTGAGTTGATTGAATATCACACATTCATTTTTGAATTCTTGAAGGAGACACTACTGTAGATTCTCAATTCTCAACAAAAGCAACTGAATCCCATCACAAAATATGAGACAGCAATGCCCTGAAACCCTACCTGCCACATCCCCTAACTTCAATTGTTCTGTATTACAGAGTGAGTCAGGCATAGGGATGCTCACTTTTGTATTGGGTATTTATATCTGCACAGATTTATGGGCATCATATGTGCTTCTCAATGTGAATCCGTGTGTATTTTTAGAGAGTGACACCTTAATCACAGTGGATTTGACTTCATCAAACCATCCAGTCATATTTGACCGTTCAGTCATTCATTCATACACTGTAAAAAATAACCGTGAATTTAACGGTGAAAGACTGTAAAAATGCAACAGTAAAAACCTGTTAAATGGTTAACGGTAAATTCCCATACTATATACAGTGAAAAACTGTGTTGAACATTAATTTTACGATAGTATACCGTTTTTGAAAGTGAAAAAGACCGTATAATTTACAGTGAATAACCATAAATTGACATTCCCAGAATTCCCTGTGTTACTTTCAAATTTGATGTTTTTTTGTTGAAATAACTATGTTTCTTCTTAGTTTTTTCTTATCAGTTTTGTATATTAGGGTTGTTTTTTTATGGTAAAATTCCGGCAACCACAGCTGCCGTTTTTTTACCGTAAATTTTACTGATTTTTTTTACAGTGTACCATATAATTTCTATACATATTTAAACATCCATTTGCAGATTCATTACAGCTCTATTCCCTCACACACACATACACACACACACACACACACACACACACACACACACACTTGTGTGTGACTTGACTCACACTGTGACTTCCTGAACCACAGGCTGTTGGCTGTTATCCGTCCTGCTTTTCCAGTCTCTCTCAGCCCTCCATTCATGTTTTCATCTCGTCATCGCTTTTAGCAATGCATAGCGATGCCTATGCATTTGATTCTGTGCAGAGAAATAACATGAAGCCTCAGAGGAGATGTGTTATGACACACATTTCCAAATCATCAATCCGTTTGCCACTCAACATCAACACAGATTCCATCCAGATTAGACACTACAAATGTATATTGTAGACACAATCATCTTCAATCTCTGTTTCAACAAGATTATGCATAGTGAAGACAGACATTATGCCAAAGCGTGATTAGTAATTCAAAGGAAGGATGGAGTAAAACGAGAGGCATTTACCACAAAAGTAAAAGAGAGAAATTACTCTAGCGCATATAGAAGTGTCATCAGTATGTAAAAAGCTCAAGCTGTTAAAACATAATAACCCCAAAATAAAAATTTTGTCACAATATCCTTGTTTGTTCCAAATCTCTATGACCTTCTTGCTTAAAAGGATAGTCCACCCAAAAATGAAAATTCTGTCATCATTTATTCACCCTTATGTCGTTCCAAACCCGTATGACTTTCTGACTTCTGCCGAGCACAAAAGAAGATCATTTGAAGAATGTCTGTAACAGTTTTGGTGACCTTTGACATTTCTCAAAATATCTCCTTTTGTTTGATAAATCATGACGGTGAATAACTGGTAATAAATTCTTAAAGGGGAATGTTCCGCTATAGCTACTGTGCTGTGCTTAAAATGTAAAGCTTTATGGTGAATGGTACTACATCACCTAGTAATTGTTTTCATGGGAATTAATTCACAGATATTCTGCCAACACAGTCATAATAAAGAAGACAATGTAATTAAGTTAAGTTGAAGTGTGTGGCAGCTTACCGCAGAGAATTGTGGGATTTGGGATGACATCTAACTGCTACTCCTGAACAAATAAAGCATAAATCAGTGTCTTATCGCTCTGAACCACATCAAACCTCAAGCTGCTCATGGAAGATGAAATAAGAAGGGAAAGAAGGAGACACACATGATGGTTGTCAGAACCAATGTACCACAAAACGAGGTTTGGGGCTGATACTGTGTGATTGTGTGTACGTCTAGAGTAAATCCCTGAAGACTGCGGCTAAACTACTCTGTAAAATCAGTAAAAGGAACATACTTTACAAACCACTATCCATTATACACACGCACACACTGACTGTTTTTGCTTGTGCACCACAAGCAAAATCTTCATGCAGCTGTTTTCACACAAAATGAAAAACAATATATGATCACACACACATTCATCATCCACCACACACAGACACGTGTATGCCAATAGAGGCTCCT